TCCAAACGCCTGAAGGTACCATGTTCATCTGTACAAACAATAGTACGCAAGTATAAACACCATGGGACCATGCAGCCGTCATACCGCTCAGGAAGGAGACGCGTTCTGTCTCCTAGAGATTAACGTACATTGGTGCGAAAAGTGCAAATCAATCCCAGAACAACAGCAAAGGACCTTGTGAAAATGCTGGAGGAAACAGGTACAAAAGTATCTATATCCACAGTAAAATGAGTCCTATATCGACATAACCTGAAAGGCCGCTCAGCAAGGAAGAAGCCACTGCTCCAAAACCGCCATAAAAAACCCAGACTACGGTTTGCAACTGCACATGGGGACAAAGATCGTACTTTTTGGAGAAATGTCCTCTGGTCTGATGAAACAAAAATAGAACTGTTTGGCCATAATGACCATCGTTATGTTTGGAGGAAAAGAACAAGCCGAAGAACACCATCCCAACCGTGAAGCACGGGGGTGGCAGCATCATGCTGTGGGGGTGCTTTGCTGCAGGACGGACTGGTGCGCTTCACAAAATAGATGGCATCATGAGGAAGGAAAATTATGTGGATATATTGAAGCAACATCTCAAGACATCAGTCAGGAAGTTAAAGCTTGGTCGCAAATGGGTCTTCCAAATGGACAATGACCCCAAGCATAGAGGCCTACAAACCTGACTCAGTTACACCAGCTCTGTCAGGAGGAATGGGCCAAAATGTACCCAATTTATTGTGGGAAGCTTGTGGAAGGCTACCTGAAACGTTTGACCCAAGTTAAACAATTTAAAGGCAATGCTACCAAATACTAATTGATTGTATGTAAACTTCTGACCCACTGGGAATGTGATGAAAGAAATCAAAGCTGAAATAAACTATTCTCTCTACTATTATTCTGACATATCACATTCTAAAAATAAAGTGGTGATCCTCTGTAGCTCAATTGGTAGAGCATGGCGCTTGTAACGCCAGGGTAGTGGGTTTGATCCCCGGGACCACCCATACGTAAAAATATATGCACACGTGACTGTAAGTCGCTTTGGATAAAAGCGTCTGCTAAATGGCATATCATTATTATATTAACTGACCTAAAACAGGGAATTATTACTAGGATTAAAATTCAGGAATTGTGAAAAACTGAGTTTAAATGTATTTGGACTAGGTATATGTAAACTTACGACTGTAACTAACCCCTTTCATTCAAGTCTTGTGACAATAGCAGGCAATGTCAATATGTGAGGACCTCAGCCAACTGAGCCACGGCCTGTTCTCCCCACTTCTATCACTCAGACGTGGGCAGTATAGGAGTATCATGGCAACAACGGGCAGACTTGCCAATAGCTTGTACCCCCCAGACCATCAGGCTGCGGAATAGCCACTAGGCAGCTACCTGGTCCCTGTGTCCCCCCCGCCTGCTCCCTTATACATATTCTACCCCCCCCCCCCCCCCCCCCCCCCCCCCGGATACTTATCCTGCCCCAACCCCACAATGGACTTTTATCCTGGCTACAGTTGTAAATGTGTATGTTTTACTATTTCTATGATTATCTCATTAATGTATCTTTTTTTTTTTTTACTTGCACTGTTGGAGCTCGGAGCCATGAGAATGTCACTGTACCCTGCCATGAGAATGTCACTGTACCCTGCCATAAGAATGTCACTGTACCCTGCCATAAGAATGTCACTGTACCCTGCCATAAGAATGTCATTGTACCCTGCCATGAGAATGTCACTGTACCCTGCCATAAGAATGTCACTGTACCCTGCCATAAGAATGTCACTGTACCCTGCCATAAGAATGTCACTGTACCCTGCCATAAGAATGTCACTGTACCCTGCCATAAGAATGTGACTGTACCCTGCCATAAGAATGTCACTGTACCCTGCCATAAGAATGTCACTGTACCCTGCCATAAGAATGTCACTGTACCCTGCCATGAGAATGTCACTGTACCCTGCCATAAGAATGTCACTGTACCCTGCGATTACATCTGTGACCCTGTGCATGTGACTAATAAACGAATCTAATCTAATCTAAAAAAAAAAAAAAAAACACTATCATCAAGTGCCAGGTGGTAGACACTGTAGACAACTGCACGTATCTTGGCACAATGATTGATAATAAATTGAACTTTGAGTGTAAAACTGACATGTTGTGTAAGAAGTGCCAGCATAGTCTTTTTTGTCTCAGGAAACTGGCAGAATTCCAGGTAGACAGGACCTTGATGACTCTGTTTTACAAGTTGTACATAGAGTCTTAACATTGTCTTTGATTTGCTGGTATGGCAACCTTGCTGTCAAAGCTAAAAATGCACTAGCTAGAACAGTGAACGAGGTCAGTAAAGATCACAGGAGTCCAGCAGAGTAGTCTGTCTGACCTGTACACCAGACAACTGGTGAGGAAGGTAGACTCCATCCTGTCTGTCTGACCTGTACACCAGACAAGTGGTGAGGAAGGTAGACTCCATCCTGTCTGTCTGACCTGTACACCAGACAACTGGTGAGGAAGGTAGACTCCATCCTGTCTGTCTGACCTGTACACCGGACAACTGGTGAGGAAGGTAGACTCCATCCTGTCTGTCTGACCTGTACACCGGACAAGTGGTGAGGAAGGTAGACTCCATCCTGTCTGTCTGACCTGTACACCAGACAACTGGTGAGGAAGGTAGACTCCATCCTGTCTGTCTGACCTGTACAACAGACAAGTGGTGAGGAAGGTAGACTCCATCCTGTCTGTCTGACCTGTACACCAGACAACTGGTGAGGAAGGTAGACTCCATCCTGTCTGTCTGACCTGTACACCAGATAACTGGTGAGGAAGGTAGACTCCATCCTGTCTGTCTGACCTGTACACCAGACAAGTGGTGAGGAAGGTAGACTCCATCCTGTCTGACTGTGCCCACCCCCTACACCAGGGATGGGCAACTTTGATGTGGGTGGGGGCCACAAAAAATCTGAAGTCATCATGAGGGGCCGTAGTTGCTCGCGGGTCTGCGTACCCACATCCATTGACTGACATAACAAGAGAAAAACTGCTGAGGCACAACCAAATTGCACCTTGGGTATTCTACTATTCTAACTCTCAACAGTAAGTTGAGACCCCGACTAAGTTTTCTCTTTTGGGGGGGGGGGGGGGGGGGGGGGGGTCTTCAAAAGGTGCCTGCGGGCTGCCAGTTGCCCATCCGTGCCCTACACCATGAGTTCCAGGTCCTACCCTCTGGTTCCTGGTTTAGATTCTCCTCTGTTAAGACTAACAGGAACAAGCTCTCCTTCACCCCAATGGCCATTACCATCTTCAATACATTACATTTACGTCATTTAGCAGACGCTCTTATCCAGAGCGACGTACATTATTGTTTTTATACCCCCGTGGGAATCAAACCCACAACCCTGGCGTTGCAAACGCCATGCTCTACCAACTAAGCTACATCCCTGCCAGCCATTCCCTCCCCTACCCTAGACCAATTGTGCGCCGCCCCATTGGTCTCCCGGTCACGGCCGGCTACAGGCCCAGAGCCTGGATTCGAACCAGGATCTCTAGTGGCACAGCTAGCACTGCGATGCAGTGCCTTAGACCACTGCGCCACTCGATACAGGGAAGAGAAGGAGGTTGGCTAGGGATGATGTTGAGGATGATGATGGTAATATGTTGTTGATGATGATTATGACGTTGACGTTGATGATGTTTTTTTGGGGGGTTTTGGCAGCACATTGTTGATATGTTGTTGATAAGATGATCTAAGAATACACAGAGCACTTTACTTATTAGGCAACTATGGCTTGCTATACTTTTGTGCCGCTGCTAATGTGGATCACTAGTAGGTCTACTGTATATATTAGTATTGATGGCTGTCAGCCCTTACGACTTGGTGTACTAGCTAGATCGTTGTATTCGCTATACCCGTATGCCATTGTGATCCATGTGGATTTCATATGTTCAATGTTGTTTTTTTTATGCTCATTTGCTGCAAAACCTGGGACAATAAAGTTTAAATTCAAAAAAATGTCCACTTATGTAACCACGGTGAAGGATTACATTGAAACTTTAGCTGGAGAAAACTCAGACGCGGTTGCTCAGGTGAAAGATAATTGAAGCCTTAGTGGGGAGGAAACTCCACCTGTATGGCACGGGTGCTAGGGTGAAAGCTGTGGTCGAGGCCTTAGCTGGAGGAATTGTTGCATTTCCAATTGTCGTTTTCGTTGCACTTGCTGCATTCAGTAGCATCTATGAATCACATTTATTATTATGAATAGTATTGACGTCAAACGGGAGAGCCAAGGACACGGGGTGGTTCCTGATGTTGTGAGATTCTCGCCAGTGTAAACAGAACGACTGGTTCTGAGAGATTAGGATCAGAACCTGCAATTGTAGACGTTGTTATGAGTACACGCTGCATGGATTGCTAAGGCATAAGAATATGAAAGTGTATATTCTTATTTTAAATGTGTGTAGATTTGTACCTGTCTCTTAATGTGGGTTCGATCCCCGGGACCACCCATACACAAAAATGTATGCACGCATGACTGTAAGTCGCTTTGGATAAAAGCGTCTGCTAAATGGCATATTATATTATTATATTATATTATATTATTAATGCTTGTCATAAAAATAAAAATAAATAAGTTATGTAGTTCTGTGCCTGTCTATTGATGTTCTGTATTATGTAAATGTTATGTAGTTCTGTCCTTCAGCTGTAATCGTCTATTCATGTTATGTATTATGTCATGTTTTGTGTTTTGTATGAACCCCAGGAAGAGTAGCTGTAGCTTTGCATGTAGCTAATGGGAATCCTAATAAAATACTACATACTAAGGCATCAAGGGAGCTTTCCTGCTTCCTCTTGAGTGATGTGTCAGGGGCGGGGCCCTGGAGTGATGATCAGATGATTGACAGACCTGGAGGCCAGTCAGATTGAGAGGGGTAGTTTTTTTTTTTTACAATTCGGAAGGGCTTTCTTGAACCAATTGCAGATATGCCAGGGGTCTATTGAAAGAACCCCATTGGACTACAGACCCTCGAATGATCGGCTTGGTATTGTATAGTGAACGAGTGGGTGAATGACCGATTGAGCTATAGGGCGTTATGGAACGAGAGATAGGCCTATTTTTAGCAGGCCACTGATGATTTGATTGGATACATGACGAGACGGGTGATCAGAAAGAAGTTCGTGTGTTTTTATGAATAAGAGAAGGAGCGAGAAGGAGAGAAAGAGAGAGAGGATTGCACATCTGGGAATGTTGGTGAGTGCAGCTATTCTATTCATTCTGTATCATCATTGTATAATTGCGTTATATTGTTGATAGTAATAAAGCCTAATTTAATGTAATGTCATGTAGCCTAGGTATTTCTGTAAGGGCTGACACGCCAACAGACTACTCGATTTTATAATTTGATAGCCTACATGTCTATCATTATATACAGACATTAAAATGAAACACTCAAAGTTTTGTACTGTGTCATATAAAACTCGGAAAACATGCCCAAACAATGGCGCATCTCCGTTTTACTTTATTATTTATTGATGAGAACATTTCAATGCTCTTTGTCTCTATTCTAATATAGTGTTACAAATAAACATCGTGCTAAATTGCATCGATGCTCAACAGATTAGAATAGGAACAGCATACAGAATGCTACAGGTATTCGTTATTTGATATTTTCACCTAATTTAATTGAGCAACATATTTAGTTGTACAACGCTGTCTGGAAAACATCTCCCTTCCCTCTGGCAGAAGAATCGCAGGTTAACGTTTTTTGTCATGAATCTTTTTCTGGAGGCAGCTCTGCAGAATGGTCACTAGCTGGCACAGCCGCAAAGTCATACAACCTAACGCTAACCTTAACCACATCGATAACCCTAACCTTAAATTAAGACCAAAAAGAGAATTTTTGTTTTCATGAATTTTTACAATATAGCAATTTTACACTTACTTTGTAGCTGGCCCATCTAGCGGAAATCTGCCTCCAGGACAAGACTCATCCCAATAACCATCAACCTGCAGCGGAATCGCACCATTTCACCACGTAGGTGTGGCTTGGCTCAGACAGCATCGTCTGATTCTGATTCCAATCCCTGACTTCCTCTCTGCACCTTGCATTTAACTGGTCCTCAGTGTGCTTCAGTTGGACGGACTCGACAGAGCGCAGCTGACGCAGTGACGGTGTGAGTGGAGCAGAGAGAACCGAGGATGGGTGGCGGAGGCCAGCAGACGGAGTCAGGCGAGCCGGCCAAGGGTGACAGGGGTGGGCCCGGTGCAGTCTACACCTGGGAAGAGGTCCAGAGGCACTCTCACAGAGGCGACCAGTGGTTGGTCATCGACAGGAAGGTCTATAATATTTCCCAGTGGGTGAAGAGACACCCGGGGGGCATCAGGGTCATCAGTCACTTTGCTGGAGAAGATGCCACGGTCAGTAGCCTAACTATGGAAGTTGTTGGTGAAATGTTCTCAAGCTATTCCAATAAGACTGTTGCAAATGTTATAATGTTGTAGGTTTAGAAATGTTTAGTGGTCTGTCACTGTATGACATATCCAAGGCCGGATTAAGAAATCATCGCTCTGACTGTCAAACTGAGATCAATCTGGTCTTGAATTTAAAAAAAACAATAGCCCAGGCAAATGAAGCGACATGCAGATAGTACAATATTAGGAGGACATATACAGTACCAGTCAAAAGTTTGGACACACCTACACATTGGCGCACAATTGGCCCAGCGTCGTCCGGGTTTGGCCCGGTGTAGGTCATTGTAAATAAGAATTTGTTCTTAACTGACTTGCCTAGTTAAATAAAGTGAATCCAATGAATCACACCGTCTCCTCTGAAAAAAAGAAAACCCTTGAATGAGTAGGTGTTCTAAAACTTTTGACCGGTAGTGTAGATTTCCTTAATTATTATTATTTTGTTAATTTTTTTGCTTCCACTTGGGTCCCCCACGGGCCTGGGCCCAGGGGCTTCAGCCCCGGTAAACCCCTGTTGTTAGTGTATTGTACATTGCTGGATCCTAATATCATGATAATCTCTTAACTAATATCACAGTGAATATTTTAAATGCGAGACATATAAAGGACATTTGTATGTATTTCTATTAAACAACATTGATTCAACTATATCTCTGTTTTCTAGGACGCATTTGTCGCATTCCATCCCGAGCCTAATTTTGTCAGGAAGTTTCTGAAGCCATTGCTGATTGGAGCGCTGGCACCCACAGAGCCCAGCCAAGACCATGGGAAAAATGTGAGGATGCCTATCTTTCTCTCTCCATCTCCCTCTACAGCACCACGCCCATAACATACATCGCTGTAGGCTACATAATGAAACATAGAATGTGAAGCCTAAAGCATCTCTCCATCTGACATAGCACCACGCCCACTCTAACATACTGTAGGTTTAGGAAGGGACCCGGGGACCAATGTGAGGCCAATCTTTCTCTTGCTAATAGGGAATTCCATGCTACTCAGACAGAATGCTGTGCAGAATGGTACTTTCTACGACTGTGGTAAGAGCAGGTGTGATGTGTATGGAGATATTTCAAGACAAAGGTTTACCTCCTACAGATGTAGTGTGGCATCTTCAGTCATCTACTATAACTAGGGCACATTATACCAGCCTGTCTATGTGCCCAGATGCCCCGCTGCCCGCTGTCTGTTTACCTATTCAGGAGTCTTACCTCTTATCCTGGTACTCTTCAGCTTTCTGTTACTCCTATTTCCTTCTTCTTCTTCTTCTTCTTCTTCACAGGTTTCTCTTCTCAATTTACACTGTCCTCCTCCTCTCCTCCACTCTCATCTCTCTACCATCATCCACCTTCCTCCTGGTTCATCTTGGCTTTATCACAGTTTGTCTTTCTGCAATTCCTCGCATCCTGTCACCTCGCCTCCTCGAATCAAGGACAGATTCATTGAGATAGACTTCATACGTCTGTATTGATTATTGATCACCTCTACCCAATACAGGCAGTACTGGTGCAAGACTTCCAGGCCTTGCGTGATCGTGTGGAGAGGGAGGGACTCCTCCGTGCCCGCCCCCTGTTCTTCAGCCTCTACCTGGGCCACATCCTGCTACTAGAGGCCCTGGCTTTGGGCCTGCTCTGGGTCTGGGGGACCAGCTGGAGCCTCACACTGCTCTGTTCCCTCATGCTGGCCACGTCTCAGGTACCATTACAGTATTATTAGGAAGCAGAAGGAGATATTTGACAGGTTATTTGATAGGTTCAAAAGTTAGGCATAGGGATCGAAGGTTAGGGTTAAGGTTAGATGATTAGGATTAGGGTTAAGGTTAGGGTTAAGGTTAGATGATTAGGATTAGGGTTAAGGTTAGGGTTAAGGTTAGATGATTAGGATTAGGGTTAAGATTAAGGTTAGAGTTAGAGGATTAGGTTAGGGGTTAGGGGTGGTGGGGTTAGGGTAAGGGTTTAGGTTAGGCATAGGGTTACCGAACTACCTTTCAGACGCCATTCAAAATCGTCCTTTCTTTTTCCCTGTCAGTCCCAGGCTGGCTGGCTGCAGCATGACTTCGGCCACCTGTCAGTCTGCAAGAAATCCAGATGGAATCACATACTGCACAAGTTTGTCATTGGACATCTAAAGGTACGCTACTGGACAATGGTTGGACATTTGACAATACTGTTTCTTTAGGCTGATCTTCTGCTACTCTTTTGGGCCAGTTTACCGGACACAGCTTAACCCTAGTCCTGGACTGAAAACCATTCTCAATGGATAATCTCCTTTTGAAAGTACATTTTACTCCAGCACTAGGTTTAATCTGTGTTCAGGAAACTGGCCCTTTCACTTTCCTACATTCACAAGAGCAGTGTTACATTTCCAAGGTCACTGCTCTACATTAGCCGTATTTAGTGTAGTGTCCCAACAGTTGGAAGTTACAGTAAGTGTAATTGTGTTTACCGGTGATACGTAACAGTAGCTGTGTGTTTCCAGGGTGCCTCTGCTAACTGGTGGAACCATCGTCACTTCCAGCACCACGCTAAACCCAACGTGTTGAGTAAAGATCCTGATGTCAACATGCTGCATGCCTTCGTCCTGGGAGACAAACAGCCTGTAGAGGTAGTTATCACTATAATATATTTGTGAATGTGATCCCTGTGGGAACCGAACCCACAACCTTAGTGCTTTATGACCCATTAGACTACTTGTCATATTTGAATAATAATAATGTAATCATTCATGTAATAATATGAATGTAATATTCAAATATCCATGTAATAGTTAATTAAATTAATGTAATATTCATGAAATAACCATGTAACAAAAACCATGTAACGGTTTGGCTCAGTAGTGTTGAAACGGTATTAGTGCTTCTGTGTAAGATCCATCTGACTCCTTGTCTCTGTCTATTGCAGTATGGTATAAAGAAGTTGAAGTACATGCCTTACCATCACCAACACAAGTACTTCTTCCTCAGTAGGTTTCATGAATTTCTGTATAGCATCACATCAATTATAGCATCACATCAACTTCCATTGAACACATAAAAGCAATAGATAGACGGCTGATGTATGTATGTATGTATGTATGCATGTATGTATGTATGTAATAACTATGTAGTATTTTCCTTCTGTCTCTCAGTTGGACCTCCACTACTTATTCCAGTGTTTTTCACCGTCCAGATATTCCAGACGATGTTTTCACAACGGAACTGGGTGGTGAGATTTCATACCAACTAAACGTATACTTAATCTTCTTCATTCCTATGTGGAACATAAAGCTTCCACGAGAGAGAGACACCTGTAATGATATGATTACGCTAACACCTGGGGGGGAGGGCACTAAATGCTTGTTCATTGCTCACTAAAGCTAGCAAGCATAATATTGCACCACCAACAACACACTGACTGTACCGTCAGAGATGACTAACTTCATAATCACAGTGATAATTGTCGCTTTGGTAGGATCCCAGATGTGATAATGTCTGTCCATAATACCAATCTTTGTCTCCTGTGAAGGATCTGGCGTGGTCGATGACTTTCTACCTCCGCTTCTTCGGCTGTTACTACCCCTTCTTTGGTTTCTTTGGCTCAGTAGCCTTGATCACCTTCGTCAGGTAATGTATGAACTGAGGGGTAGCTCAAAGATTAACTCATTCACTGGTTCATTCATTCATTCATTCATCCATTCATTCATTCATTCATTCATTCCTTCACAGATTCATTCATTCATTGTATTCAAACTATCTACAGTATAGAAAAACGACACAATGATGTGCTTGATGTAAGAATTTAACATAATATTGTGACTGAATAATTGTATTGTGAACATTGGACTGTATATATAGGTTTTTGGAAAGCCACTGGTTTGTATGGGTGACCCAGATGAATCATCTTCCTATGGACATTGATCACGACAAACGCCAGGACTGGCTCACCATGCAGGTAACGTGTCATCATTACTAGACAACTGGGCCAGTATTGACAAATGCGTCTTGGAGTAATAGTGCTGATCTGGGATCAGGCCCCCCCCCGTCCATACAATCATATTCATTATTATCTTAAAAGGTCAAACTGATCCTAGAACAACACTCCTACTCTGAAGCTTTGTGAATACAGGCCCTGGAGTGTTTTCTGGGGCTGTGCCATCTGTATTTGTATTTATTATGGATCCCCATTAGTTCCTGCCAAGGCAGCAGCTACTCTTCCTGGGGGTTTATTATGGATCCCCATTAGTTCCTGCCAAGGCAGCAGCTACTCTTCCTGGGGGTTTATTATGGATCCCCATTAGTTCCTGCCACGGCAGCAGCTACTCTTCCTGGGGGTTTATTATGGATGCCCATTAGTTCCTGCCAAGGCAGCAGCTACTCTTCCTGGGGTTTATTATGGATCCCCATTAGTTCCTGCCAAGGCAGCAGCTACTCTTCCTGGGGGTTTATTATGGATCCCCATTGCCAAGGCAGCAGCTACTCTTCCTGGGGGTTTATTATGGATCCCCATTAGTTCCTGCCAAGGCAGCAGCTACTCTTCCTGGGGTTTATTATGGATCCCCATTAGTTCCTGCCAAGGCAGCAGCTACTCTTCCTGGGGTTTATTATGGATCCCAATTAGTTCTTGCCAAGGCAGCAGCTACTCTTCCTGGGGTTTATTATGGATCCCCGTTGCCAAGGCAGCAGCTACTCTTCCTGGGGTTTATTATGGATCCCCTTGCCAAGGCAGCAGCTACTCTTCCTGGGGTTTATTATGGATCCCAATTAGTTCTTGCCAAGGCAGCAGCTACTCTTCCTGGGGTTTATTATGGATCCCAATTAGTTCTTGCCAAGGCAGCAGCTACACTTCCTGGGGTTTATTATGGATCCCCGTTGCCAAGGCAGCAGCTACTCTTCCTGGGGTCCAGCAACATTAATATTACATGACATTACATTTCATAACACTTTACCCAATACATTTAGTGTGTTCCCTAAGGCCACATCTGTAGTTCTCCAGTAGAGGGTGCTATAACGTGTTTCTTTCTCTGGTCTTAGTTGAATGCTACTTGCAACATTGAACAGTCACCCTTCAACGACTGGTTCAGTGGACACCTCAACTTTCAGATTGAACACCAGTAAGTGAAACAAATATCCCACCTTACTGTTGTCTGTGTCAACAGCATATGCTGTATTTATATGGTAATTTATAAAGTCATTCAGATTCTAAAGAAGGTTATAGTTTAGGTAGTATTCAGCTTCATTTGATCTTAAATATAACTTAAGTTGTTTGTACTAATTACAGCACTAATTACTAATGAATTATGAATAGTGTTTTAGATACAACATTGATACAATCCTACTCAGAAACTGAGGTTTCTCTGAGAAACTCTGATACCCTCTGCTCTCTCTCTCTGCCTCTCTCTCTCCCCCTGCCCCCTCTCTCTCTCTCTCTCTCTCTCTCTCTCTCTCTCTCTCTGTCTGTCTCCCTCACCCCACCCCACCCCCCCTCTCCCTCCCAGTCTGTTTCCTACCATGCCCCGTCATAACTACCACCTGGTGGCTCCTCTGGTGCGTGCTTTGTGTGAGAAACATGGAATTCCCTATGAGGTCAAGACTTTGCAGAAAGGCATCACTGATGTTGTCAGGTAAGTGGTAACCTCACATATACCACTACTTATCCAGGGGTATGCAGTAGTTTTAATGAATACTTTTAAGTGCTTTCCTCTGGGAATACATTGTACATCATAAGGTGATACCTGCTGCTCTCAGGCTCCTATGTGATTTACCTGGTTTGTTATCCACCTCTGTTCCTCCCCAGGTCACTGAAGAAGTCAGGCGATCTGTGGCTGGATGCATATCTTCATAAATAAATCCCTTCCTGACTCTGGACGGGATTTAATCCCATCGCACATTAACGACCTGTGAACAGAGATAGTTTCTCAGACGTTTGTGTTGGATGTTGTGTTTTGTTGTGATGTAATTGTTTTAATCCCTTTTCGGACCCCAGGAAGAGCAGCTGCTGCATTCGCAGCAGCTAATGGGGATCCAAAGCAGCAATCCAGGGTTTATATTAGGGCTGTCAGAGTTAATCAGTTAACTCAAGTTAACTTTTTGTCATTTTAGTGCACACATTTTTTAAAATCGTGATTAATCGCATTGTCTGAAAGCGTTGAATACACTGAAAACATCCAAAATACATCATGTATACAGCTAAAATCTATAATGCCATGTAAAAAAATAAGTTGACATTGAGGTTAAATAAAGTTTGCTTTCTCAGTTTATATAATTTTGCTAACTGTTACATTAGACAACATCAAGACATCAATACTCTTGTAAAGTTTTTGGTATGAAAAATCTTAAATTACAGCTCACTTTGAGCAAATTAGGAATTTGCAATTAATCGCAGCAAATCCTGCTAGTTAACTCGATTGAAAAAAAATATATATTGTTTGACAGCCCTAGTTTATAGACATCATTGGTAGAGCCTTTTGGTCGTTTTTTGTGGGGGGGTTTTCTTTGATTGTATTTCTAGCATTATCCACCGGGCTTGCTGCAGGCAGAAAATCCTAGGAAATGCTCTTTAATTGACACAAGCCGTCTCCAATCAATCATTCAATTTCTGGTTGTGTGTGAATGTTTGGTGGTGGGATCGCCTAAACGAGGGGAGGCGGAGCTCTATGAAACTTAATCGCACAGAGCCTATTATATAGCAGGGAATACTATTTGTAGATCAGTGATTCTACACCTCACTTTGCTCAAACTGATCCTCAAAATCAGAATTTAGCTTGAAAAAAGAGCGCGCCGATACACCGACGGGACGCTTTGCAGATTACAACAATATATTCTGCAAAACCTGCAATATAGCATTAGATTATGAACGGAAGACAGGATAGCCTTCTGAAAGAAAATAAACACATTACGCTGTCTCAGAAGAATGCTTCTACCCAAGACAGTTTAGCTAGGCGGCAGGTGGTGAAGGATATAGTGAAACAGTTTCATCCTTACATAACAAGACAACATCAATCAACAACAATAATTTGACAACGTTTTCTTTGTCTGTTCTTAACATATGGGTATGATAGGCATTTTTATATCAGTAAAATGTAGATGGGGGGAAATGTAGACTATTTTCAGAACATAAATGGCTCGCCTATTTTAATTCGCTACAGAAGTAACCCAACTTCTCCATCTCTGTTAAGACCACAGTTTTTGGAGAGATACGCTTCCCCGCCTTAATAAAGAGCGCGTAAAAGCGGTAACTAGCGTAACTAGAACGTTGTCTTATTGCCTGACAAACAAAAGCAACGTTTGGAGAAAAAAAAATGGTATGTGGATGAAGGTCATGCTTAGGCGAATAAACTGTAAAGGGAAATAAATGGCTACAGTTTGCACTTTTTATTGAGTTATTTCATGTAATGTTTTCTTAGAAAATGTTTTTTTTTTTTTTTTTACCGGGGTAACTAAATTAAAATGGCTATTTTGTTCCGAAATAGGCTACATTTTCTTAGATAAAATGCCGATTGTATATAATATTAATACCAGACAATGAATAAGTTTAATATTTATGCTGATAATGTCTATAAAATAGGCTAATAATTTGGTGCATTAGGCTAAAGCGAAGGCTGCTGGTGAGAATAATTGTCGGCAAACATTTCATTTGGATGGGAATTTATAATTAGGTTAGATGATGGTATGCACACGTGACAATGAATTCACACGTGGTGTGAGAAGGCTCTATATTGGCCTCTTGAGGTCAGGTGATCGAAATGCAGGGTAGAAAAAAACCTACCAAAACGCCTGGCCCTAATCACTGGTGCCAATTTGACTAGATAGACTATGCCTCCCCATACAGAAAAATAAGATATTGACATATATTTAACAACAGTGTATTGACGTATATGTAAATTACAGATATCTAAATATGTGTTTAAGCCTTATGTACATATATATTTAAATACACGAATAAACATATGGACGTTACAAAATGTGCCATTTTCATATATTTCCACATGTTTATATATTTAAATATATGGTGTGGAAATACATTTTGATAGCATGCAGTGGTAGCTAATAAAATATATTTCATAAATATATGTTCCCATGTATTTTAATGAATGGAACATTTAGATTTTTACATGTAGCCTGGGCTACACTACAAAGTTCATCACTAAATCACAATAGCCTGCTGTGGTATACTTTGAAAAGTTTGAATGAATGACTGACAACTAAAAGAGTGCTTTCAATAATCTTTATTTTTTGCTCAAATAACTTGATCCATTGTTAAATTGTGCCATGGGAATCACTGGGAAGGCATCTGAAACACAAAAATATGATGTACAAATTACCTATGTGCACTTAACATCTGTATTTGAAAATGATGTCTTTGAACATCAAATTGAGACTTACAATGCATATTCCTTCACATCCAGTGTACATTGCAGACTCACACGTTGACAGTTACCCTGTGGATAATGCAGAGACTGAGTCAGTGAAACAATTCCACACAAGATGAAGAATAAATAAGGGGTTAATGTTCATGAAAACATTTTTACTTCACACAAAAGACAACTGACATTGGCTGGGGTCTGTCCATAGGCAGCCGAGTCTCCAGACCAAAAGGATCCACTGCAGGAGGGAAAAATAGGATTATTTATTGCCAGAAATAGCTAGCCAGTTCTATCAGAGACGCCTAAACCAGAATCTGGCTTTAAAGGAGACGATATTCCCCAGTGATTTTAATAATTATATGCCATTTAGCAGACGCTTTAATCCAAAGCGATTTACAGCCATGTGCGGATACATGTTTACGTATGGGTGGTCCCGGGGATCGAACCCACTACCCTGGCGTTACAAGCGCCATGCTCTACCAATTGAGCCACCGAGGACCACACTCACCCACCGCTACTGGCAGGCACACGCACATGCCAATTAATCGTAAGGGCTGTTGTGAACAAATTGCAGATATGCCAGCGGTCTAGTGAAATAACCCTATTGGACTAGAGACCCTCGAATGATCGGCTTGGAATTGTATAGTGAACGAGTGGGGTGAATGACCGAGTGAGCTATAGGGCGTTATGAAACGAAAGATACCTTTAGTATATGGAAGGATTTTTTAAAATTCAAAATTAAACAATAGAATTCACCCCATGCACCGTTTAATGAAAACTCGTTGCAAGTAATGGGCTGTGTCCAGTTACAAATAACATAAACACACCTCGAATGTCAAAATCGCAATGCTTGTATTGAGTACAGCCTATGATTATGTGGAAGCGTAGATCACATTCGAGCTGTGGCTGCTTCTATTCGGAGTGAGTGTTTCCGTGTTGTGATGTGCCTCTTCAATTCGAGACCTGACTTTTTCATGAAGCGGAGAAAACGGCACAGAGGTAGGAGGAGCGGTGTCTGTCAATCATAAACTCCGCCCCTACACCTCAATGCAAAAAAAATCTTCACTCGATTGCGTTGACTTTCATCAAGGCAACCAATCACAGGGACGGCACTAGTTACCACATCCACAAAGTCCTAAACCCCGCCCTTTTCTACAATTTCTCTTCTTAAAATGTGATTTTAACCCTGACCGTAACCACACTGCTTTCAATATGCCTAACCTTAAATTATGATTTTTTACGATATAGCCACTTTGTGGTTGTGCTAACTAGTGGAAACCCAATCACAGTCATTGCAACCAATGAAGTAACAGTATCGAATATTTTTTATATATTTATTTATTTCACCTTTATTTAACCAGGTAAGCCAGTTGAGAACAAGTTCTCATTTACAACTGCGACCTGGCCAAGATAAAGCAAAGCAGTGCGATAAAAACAACAACACAGAGTTACATATGGGGGTAAAAAAACATAAAGTCAAAAAATACAACAGAAAATATATATACTGTGTGTGCAAATGTAGCAAGTTATGGAGGTAAGGCAATAAATAGGCTATAGTGCAAAATAATTACAATTAGAATTAACACTGGAATGCTAGATGTGCAAGAGATTATGTGCAAATAGAGATACTGGGGTGCAAAAGAGCAAAATAAATAACAATATAGGGATGAGGTAGTTGGGTGGGCTAATTTCAGATGAGCTGTGTACAGGTGCAGTGATCGGTAAGGTGCTCTGACAACTGATGCTTAAAGGTAGTGAGGGAGATAAGAGTCTCCAGCTTCAGAGATTTTTGCAATTCTTTCCAGTCATTGGCAGCAGAGAACTGGAAGGAATGGCGGCCAAAGGAGGTGTTGGCTTTGGGGATGACCAGTGAGATATACCTGCTGGAGCGCAGACTACAGGTGGGTGCTGCTATGGTGACCAATGAGCTAAGATAAGGCGGGGATTTGCCTAGCAGTGATTTATAGATGACCTGGAGCCAGTGGGTTTGACGACGAACATGTAGTGAGGACCAGCCAACAAGAGCGTACAGGTCACAGTGGTGGGTAGTGTATGGGGCTTTGGAGACAAAACGGATGGCACTGTGATAGACTACATCTAATTTGCTGAGTAGAGTGTTGGAGGCTATTTTGTAAATGACATCGCCGAAGTCAAGGATCGGTGGATAGTCAGTTTTACGAGGGCATGTTTAGCAGCATGAGTGAAGGAGGCTTTGTTGCGAAATAGGAAGCCGATTCTAGATTTAACTTTGGATTGGAGATGCTTAATGTGAGTCTGGAAGGAGAGTTTACGGTCTAACCAGACACCTAGGTATTTGTAGTTGTCCACATATTCTAAGTCAGACCCACCGAGAGTAGTTATTCTAGTCGGGCGGGCGGTTGCAAGCAGCGTTCGTTGAAGAGCATGCATTTAGTTTTACTAGCGCTTAAGAGCAGTTGGAGGCCACGGAAGGAGTGTTGTATGGCATTGAAGCTCGTTTGGACACAGTGTCCAATGAAGGGCCAGATGTATACAAAATGGTGTCGTCTGCGTAGAGGTGGATCTGAGAGTCACCAGCAGCAAGAGCGACATCATTGATATACACAGAGAATAGAGTCTGCCTGAGAATTGAACCCTGTGGCACCCCCATAGAGACTGCCAGAGGTCCAGACAACAGGCCCTCCGATTTGACACATTGAACTCTATCTGAGAAGTAGTTGGTGAACCAGGCGAGGCAGTCATTTGAGGAACCAAGGCTATTTAGTTTGCCAATAAGAATGCGGTGATTGACAGAGTCAAAAGCCTTGGCCAGGTCGATGAAGACGGCTGCACAGTACTGTCTTTTATCGATCGCGGTTAATATATCGTTTAGGACCTTGAGCGTGGCTGAGGTGCACCCATGACCAGCTCGGAAACCAGATTGCATAGCGGAGAAGGTACGGTGGGATTCGAAATGGTCGGTGATCTATTTGTTAACTTGGCTTTCAAATACTTTTCGAAAGGCAGGGCAGGATGGATATAGGTCTGTAACAGTTTGGCTCTAGAGTGTCACCCCCTTTGAAGAGGGGGATGACCGCGGCAGCTTTCCAATCTCTGGGGATCTCAGACTATACGAAAGAGAGGTTGAACAGGCTAGTAATAGGGGTTGCAACAATTTCAGCGGCTAATTTTAGAAAGAAAGGGACCAGATTGTCTAGCCAGCTGATTTG